TTTTTTATTATTTAATTTGGTTATTTGTTTTATAAAAGGTAGTTCATTCTATAATAAAACTCATCTAAGTGTCCAACTTTGTATAAAAATTATAAAATCGACAAAGTTTTATTGAAATTTAACACTTTTTATTTACATAGAATTTGTATGCAGTTTTAAAGCCAATTCAACTCGTTTACAATAAGTGAAAATTTGAAGTGGCTGCCGTTGATTTTGACTGTTTTTATTGACTAGAATCAAACGGGTTCTAAAACTGTTTACGTAAAAAATTTCTAAAAACTCTGAATAGAAAGTGTGAAATTTTTATGAAACTTTGTCATTTTTCTTTAATGTTTGTGCAAAGTTTAAAACTTAGTGTGCATGGTTTTTGGTATAGACTAAACTATATGCATTTTTATAAAAAAAATAATTAAAATTAAATAATAAACAATAAATAGTTTAAACTTGTCAATAATTAAGTGGATGTCCTATAATTATGTTAAGCACTATATTTTTCGCAGAAATTTCGAAAATTCGGTTTAAGATTCATTGTTGTGATTTTTAAGCGTATGTATATCCCTAAAATTTTTACCGCAACTATCATCACAAAGTTGTCCAGAAAGCCAAAAGCGATGAATGGCACAGCATTCACTACGAAGACTGTAAAAATCCATAAAAGTTTCATGAACATTGTGAATTTTTCTAAAATTTCAAAGCAACAAGTACTCACTTCGACGCAAATCTGCCATGGTGGGCGGTGGCGCTTTAGCCGCTATAGGGGAAAAGCACATAAAAGAGAATAAAAGTATTCAGTTAAATAGATATTTATTAATTTTTAAATTAAACTGAGTTAGTAGTTTTGTTTTTTTTTTTTCATAATTAAGTAAAATAAACCTTGATATTAAATTTATTATTTTTTTTTTTAATAAAAGAACAAATGTTAGTGTTAAGTTTTTTCCGAATGTGTTCCGATTAGTTTTCTGTTTTTTCTGTTCAGTTTACCCGCTCTTTGTTTGAGCCATTCCTCGGGGAAGGCACAAAATCGACCTGTGGGATCAACATCGCCAAGGCGTGGCACTTGTGAAGGACGGCCAAAGCGTGTGCGCCATTGTGTTGCTGCCAATTTGCCTATGTTTGTGCATGAATGCCATAGCGTATGCGTGTTTGTGTGGGTGATGTGTTTATTTTGGCGTTTAATAAAAATATTCCATTCATGTGCGCGTTATTGTATTGTCATCGGGATTGTCATCAGCAGCATACGCGTCCGTTTTGTTTTTCATTTTGTGGAGGTTCATGTTGGCGGTGACATTTGAAATAATAACCATTGTGATTGAATTTGTGCGGACAGATAAATGTTCATGCAAAAGAAAAGAAAGGGGGAGACGACAATAAAATATAAATATAGGTAAATTTAAAATTAAATATTGAGCTATAGGCATGCACAATAAGCTAGACACGTTAAAAACCGTGAAATGGACGGAGTGTTTAGCATTAGAAGTGTATTTTGTAAAATAAATAATCAAATATTCGAATAAGTGTTCGATATATGTAGTTAATGATTGATATGTAATCGACTTATCAATTATCGATATTTTTGTAGGCGTATTTATCGAACACTATAGACACATATACTTTAGAAAATCATGATCGATGCATATAAAGATCGATATTGCTGTCGATATAGTATTTAATGGTGTTATAGATTTTTTTTATGATAACTTTATATGTATATACGTATATTTTTGGGAGTCGCCATTGATATATAATTTGTCGGTATGATGTACATAATTATGTGCACATGTATGTCGGCACCAAATAGGGTTATCGATATCGAGTCAATACTATTGCCACGCGCTTCAATTACACTGGATCACAAATTTGTGTTTTTTTTGTTCACGGATTGCCCTTATCCAATTCTAAACAGCGTTACTCATATGTACATTAGAGTGGTCCAAAAACAGTAAAGTCGGAATTTTTGATCACTAGGATTGTTCTATGCCGAAAAAAATATACCCCTGTTTTCATTAAAAAAAAAAACAAATTTGCGATCGAAAAATATTGATCTTGAAGAATTCTACACCATTTATATGAAAAGTTGTTTTTTTTCCCATATAAAATACATGAAAAACTTTGCGCGCTTTGTGCACTCCGTAAATTTTTTTATTTCAAAATAAAAAAGGGGTATATTTTGCTTCGGAATCGAAGCATTCTAGGCGGCATTAAAATTCCGAAAGTTCGAATTTTTTATTATTATTTATTCAGAAACCTAACAGAGGCCTATCGAAAATAGAGATGCCAGATCAAAGTAATAAAAATCGATTTTTGAATTGAAATAAAAACGACCGATGCAGAAAGAAATCGTCAAAAACCAAATTGATCTCACAAGATTGATTCATATATTTTGTAAAATAATGTATTGTACTTAATCTTTACAAAGAAACAAACCACGGCTACCTGACCAAACTTTTATTGTAAGTATTTTTTATAAACAAACATGCATTGTTCATAACGGTTTCAATATCTGGATGTATTCAAAAGCTATCAAGTAGCTAGCAATGCATAAATACTTTTGAAAAAAAGTGAGATAATAATAATTCGTAAACAGAATTTATGAAAACGGTTAAGTTTTTTTGAATTTTTAATTTTTTTTTCGACCACAAATGAGAAAATAACTTATGTTTTACTTCAAAATTGACCACTATTGTAACAAGTGTATTATACAAAGGAGCTTGAGTACATATATTTTTTGCACTGCCGAAGTTTTTTTCTTGTTTAAAATTTGTAAGAAATTTTCCATAAAGTTTGGAATTTAAATTTTTTAAGTTTGCGTTTGTGGTATTAGCCATAATTTTATATAGAGTTTTTTACCTCTTTGCTCTTTCAAGTTGGAGAGGTGGGAGGCGTGAGACCCCATTTTTTTTTGTACCAGCCTCAAGTTCAAATATCTGTAAAATTTTAAACTCGAATATCGATTCTGCATTTTTTTTTACGTTTCACGGATAGAATCGGAACTAAAAAATCGACAAAAATCGAATCGGAAGGGCTCGATTAATCGATCTTCGATTTAATCGATTTTAAAACGGCATCTTTAAACGAAAAGTTACTTATTAAGTGACGATTTATGGCGAATTTTGTTTGATTTCATTTGCCACCTTTTGTATTAAGATTGTTATGCAATTCTACATATATGGGAACTAGATAGTGACATTCAGTTTGCATTTTTGCTGTAAACCAGTGTTGTGTCAGTTATCTATGGCCTTTACTTTATACGATACAGTAACTTTACAGCTGTTAACATGCATTAAAATGCCATCTACAGAGTGAAATTTTATCATACAAAAGTAAAGACGAATCATTCAACAAAATAATTCGAATATGCATTTATTTCGAAATTACTTCGTAATTTTTGAAATTAAAGTATCATCCAACAAAGCAAAATAAAGCTTCTAAAACGTTATGCAAATCCTTTTGGTCCCGAAAGAGTTGATTTTATTATAGTTAAAAATGTTTGCTATCTGGGTCAGTGTTGCCAGAACTTTTTGGACGAACCGGCTAAATTGGCAAATAAAACCGGCTAAAAACGGCTAAAATGTTTCAACTAAATTTAACATGTTTTATTTAAATAAATCACGAGTACTATTTCTGGGAGAGAAGTTAAAAAATTCGAGCCGGAAAAGATTTTGCCAGCGAGAATTTGCAATTAGGAAAAACATATGATTGTGGCACATGGTTGGATTTTTTGTGAATAAACAAGTTCGTTAAATTTAAAATTCTATACAAATTTCTTTTGGACACTAGCTGCCAGAAAATCTTGCCAATTTGCGTTCGTACAGAAAATTGCAAGTTTCTCTACATGATAGAAAATTTGGGAGCATTTTTTCTTACTATCTGATGTTTTGAGTGATAATTCTCGCTGGATTTTCGACGAACAAACCTATTGTCTTCCCTACGAGGCCTTTTCAGACTGACCGATTCTCAATACACTCAAATAGAATAGACCAATACACATAAAAAACGCTGTAAAAATTTCCATTCAATTTTAAGGCAGTAAAACAACGACCTTAAGTTAACATCAACCGAGGCCATTTATTGACAAGGGATGCAAAATCACAGTTACACAAAAGAACTGGTCAGATTTTTCAGAAATCCCTTCAATTCTGATGTAAAATATGATGCCAAAATACTACAGATCTCCCATTTAGATGTTCGGTCATATGACCGGCAGATGTCTCGTAGGATTCCCGGAGAGTTTTGCTTTACATAGAAATTTGTGCTCTTTTATTTTCATTTTGACTCACTTCAGTGTTGGTTCCTTTAATTCAAGTTGGCATTCGGTTTTTGGAATTTAAATAAGTTCTCAGCAAAAAAGTTTGTTTAAAAAAATACATATGTGTACATAGTGCTTGAAAATATCAATTTTTCCGTTACCTTAAACCTTTGGGAGTGGGCAAAAATGATGTTTTGTAATTTAGGCAGAGTTGTTTGTTGGCACTATATCCAAACACAAACGCATCTTAAGTGTCTTAACAGTGAAACAATTTCTTATTTTCTAAGTTTGCGAATAAAACTTCACACTTAAAATTAAGACATTTATAGCAAACATTTTATGAAGAAAAACCCTTCTTCGTTTAAAATAAAAATAAGCGAAATCGGCACAATTTCATACAACCCTGCCTAACATGAAAATTTTCTCCACGATAAGGCTAGTAGCCATTTCTAACAGATATTGGGTCGCTTAGTCAAAAATAGAAACATATATACATATTTGAAATTTAAGAAAACAAGGCAAATAGCAAAATCGGCTAAAACCGGCTAATTTTTTTCTGCAAAACGGTTAACAAATCGGCTGCCGGCTAAATCGAAATTTCTCCGGCTGTTTGCTATCGCAATCGGCTAAATCTAGCCGGAAAACGGCTCAAATGGCAACACTGATCTGGGTTATATTCACTCCATATTTATATAACGAACATATTTGCGCTTATCTGCTTACATACATACAAACATACATACATACATACATATGTTCCCCTAAGTACGAGTATAACAGTGAAG